TGGCCCATAATAAGCCACTGATAAATAACATCTATAAAATAAATGGTATTATTGAGACCTAATTCCACTAGAAATGCATGACATAGGAAAGATACTGCTAACATGAAAAATACGTTAGAGGACTCATAGGGACGGTCTTCTTCATGGAAACGGCAGAGACTTGGAATCAAATTTGTGTTTGCATTCCAACCCTGCAGCTCTCTAGCTACGTGACTTGAGGCAAGCCATTTCGCCTGTCCGCGGTTAACCAAGGTGCTGGGTTGTTAATATCTTCATTCCCCAAAATGTAGTATGTGCCTGACTGAGTACCAGGCATTGTACTGGGTGCTGGTGATTGAGAGACTTGAAGAAGCCACTCCTGTGTTTGCCGTGTAGCTGGGGAGACAGGAAGAGACAATTATAATTGGGAAACTTAGAGCTCTGGCAAGCGAAGTCTCAGGCATGCAGGTAAATCCTTATTTACGCTGGAGAGACGTCTTTCGCCCTGATGTAGTGATTAGCTCCTTCCCTCCGTTTTAAAGGTAATAAGTAGAACTGAGTACACAGTTCCCACTTTTTAACAATAATGGGGTTTTAGAAACTATTTTGGCAAGTAGAATGGTGAAATTTAGATCTTTTCCAATTCCGGTGGGCTGGACAATCTGCACGTAGACATGTGACATCATGAAGGACTGTAGCGAAGGGGTCAGAGCACAGCAGCACAGTGGCAGCTTCAGTTAGCCTGCCAGGGCCAGTTTCCCGGTCTGTAATGCGGGGATAGGAACAGTCATGGCTTCCTAGCGTTAGGGTGAGGATGGGTGAGTTGACAGATGTAGAACGCTTGGGACCGTGTCTGCCACATAGTGCGTATTCAATATGCTAGCTCTCATCATTCTTTTTTTCATATTTTTATAACTTTATTAATTATTCAATTGGAGGCCTGTTACCCAGCCTGCCAGAGTGGGCTTTCCTTATTAGAGGGGGACAGGTTCCCCAGTTCTGCTGCAGCCTCGGCTATTGCAGCATTTTGGGGCAGTTGCTGCCTGCCTCGGGGCCCCCCTGGTACCTCAGGACTGGAGGTGGAGGGCAGGGCCACCCCTGAGAGGCAGGCAGAGATCCTGGGGGCCAGAAAGGCCATTCTAGGGGCTCCTCCCAGACATCCCAGTGGCCATCGTATATGCCTCCCCTGCTCTGGCCAGGGAGGCAGAAGGGTATCAGAGTACGTCCAGCCTGGCCTCTAGGGGTCACCCCCTGCTCAGATCCACTCATCAACTCTTAATTATGGCGGTCTCCCCCATAATGAAAAGACTGGGCAAAATATCTTCCTCAGCCTGCACAGGGACCATCAGAAACCATGGATCGAAGTAATAAAAAAGGGGTGGGGTGGGGGCAGAGCTCAGTGGTAGAGCCCATGCTTGGTGTGTACAAGGTCTTGTATTTAATCCCCGGTGCCCCTGTCAAGGGGAAATAAATTTAAAAAAATAAATAATAATAAATATATGTTTAAAAAGCAACAAAAAAGTAAAATAGAAATCAAATAATATGTAAAGATCAGGGCATATTATCAAAGGACTTCTTATCAACACAGATAAAATTCAAGTTTTTAAAAAAAGGTTTATGTATAGTTTTGAGGGGAGGTAATTAGGTTTGTTTATTTATTTTAATGGAGGTACTAGGGACTGAACCTAGGACCTTGTGCATGCTAAGCACACGCTCTACCACTGAGCTCTACCCTCTGCCTTAACAGTGTCTTGACTGCAGTATCTTTATCATAAATATTGGTTGATTTCTTAAGTCCTGGCTTTACAAGACAAAGGTCCAAGGGAGTGCTTTATTGACTAGTTCTTTTTCTCTTTTTCCTCTGATAGTTGAAAAGAGAGAAACCTTGACTTTCCCTCTCCTGTTGGAGCCTGAGCCAGCACCCCCTGCAAGGTGACTGGGCAGCTCTCCAGTTACCTGGTGGGAAAGTCCCCCAGCCCCCCGGGCTGCAGGTTGTAACTCGCATCTAAGTCCTTTCTCTCTCACTATCTCAGGAAGATCTTCTACTGGAAGATAAAGGCATTCCTAGTCTCTGGCTCTCTCCTCAGCATTATTACAGAAGTCAAAAGAGGGAGATTAGTGTGAACAAGAGGTCAAAAGGGACAGTAGCCCACAGGGGTATTTCTCTACATTCCCCGGGAAAGCTACTCATTTTCTTCCCATCAGATGTTCCCAGGACAACTTAAATGATTTTGGAACTTTTGAGAAAGTCCTCACCTCTTCCCCATTATATCCACCCCTTCCTTCAACTCTTAAGGGGTTTTCTCCTCTCTGAAATTTGAGCTTAAATTTGAACACAGTGTTCCCATAGAAACTGGCCGCCTTCTCTCTTTCTGCCTGCCTTATTTCTGCTTAAAAAGCTAGATTCCAGCTGTCATCAGAACATGCCTTTTAAAAACAAAATTTACCAGGTTATAAAGGAGGTACAAAGTGAAGAGCGGACGCCCAGGAACCTGGGCGCGTTGCAAACCTTGATTTGTTATAACCTTCACGTGGCGAGATGGTCAATAGGAAATCTGTTTTAAGACCAGGATACCCAACTCTAGTAACCAGTCCTGGGGCTGTGACAAGTTTTTTCAATTCTAAATAAGAGCAAAAGGACAGTAGTAAGGTTTTCATTGAGCAAATGATTTCAGTATGAAATATGTATTCTTTGTGAACTGCCTTTAAAAAAAATAATGATAGTGATAGTGGACAGCAACTGTTGTGAATTAGTTTTTTTTCAAAATCAGTATTTATCAATTAAGATTTAAAAAATTTATTTTATTTATTTTTTAGTTGAAGTATAGTCAGATTACAATGTTGCATCAATTTCTGATGTACAGTATAATGTTTCAGTCATACGTATACGAACATATGATCCTTTTCATTATAGGTTACTACAAGATACTGAATATAGTTCGTGCTGTACAGTTAAACTTGTTTTTCATCTATTTTATATATAGTAGTATCTGCAAATCCTAAACTCCCAATTTATCCCTCCCCCCACCACAAAATATTTGTACATTTCTCTTAACACTTCCTCTTCGAATCATGTATTATTTAAAAGTGTGTTGCTTTCTCTTAAAAAAATATTTTTTTGCTGGGGGAGGTAATTAGGTTTATTTATTTATTATTTTTAGTGGAGGTACCAGGGATTGAACCCAGGACCTTGTGCATGTTAAGAACACACTCTACCACTGACGTATGCCCTACCTCTCCCTGGTAAAATGAAAAAGCTGACAATCCTAAATTGGTTCCCCTTATTCTGTTTACTTTATTGGGCTGTGAAAATAAAAAAATTTACTGTACTAAAACCAACTTACTACTTCTCTAGCTGAGCAGTCCCTCCTAAAACCTCAGAATAAGTGTCCCTAAGAAAGAAATTCCCTTCCTGTAAAGAAGACCTTCTGGGGTAACATTTTCTATTTTTAACCTTTTTTTACTACTTATTTTTTAATTGAGGTATAATTGACATGTTAGTTTCAGGTGTACAACATAGTGATATGCTGTTCTACCTTTTTTTAGTTGTGGTAAAATATATATAACACAAATGTATCATTTTCACTATTTTTAGGTGTACAGTTCAGTGGTGTTAAGTACATTCACATTGTTGTTTAACTATCAGCACCATCGATCTCCAGAAGTTTTTTATCTTCCCAAGTGGAAACGATTCATTAAACACTAACTCCCTATTCCTCCCCCTCCCCCTAGCCCCTGGCAACCAGCACGCTACTTTCTGTCTCTGAATTTCCCTATTCTAGGTACCTCATATAAGTTCAATCATGCACTGTTTTTTTTTTTTAATGTGTGTCTGGCTCATTTCACTTAGCACAATGTCTTCAAGGTTCATCCATATTGTGTTATGTGTCAGAGTTACATTCCTCTTAAAGGTGTTTTTAACCTTTTTGACAACTCTGCTTGCATTGAAGCTCTTTCAACAAAAGGATGGTTGGTAAAAGGGCAAATCTTGCCAGCTTTCTGTATTTATTCACCTGTAACATGGTTCTGAGTTCTGTTCTATCATGTAAACAGATCCAGGCAGACCTGCCTTTTATAAAGGTGGCCACTGCTATTCAGTTCCAATATGTAGTTCCAAAATGTAATGTAGGCCTAGTATTGCATGTAAAAATCTCCTGATTTTCATGTGTTGGCCAATATCATTAGGCCAAACAGAAAACATTCGCAGGCCAGATCTTGCCCACAGGCCACTAGTTAGCATCTCTGCTAGGGCTTAAAAAAATAAAAGCACATTTTATTGTGGCTTCATTGATTCATTCATGAAATTAATGTTCACTGGGTCTGTACTAAAGGTTAGGCTACACACACAAGATGTGGCTTAAAGAATCCGTGGCAGGAGAGACAAATAGTTGCAGCATAAGCGCTGTAACAGAGCAAAACAGTAACTTTACTGAGCACTTCTTATGTGCCAGGGAGTTTTTAAGACCTTTACCTATATTAACTCATTAAACCTTACAACAATCCTATAAAGTAGGCACTCTTATTGTCTTCATTTTACATCTGAAAAGAGAAGCACAGAGTGGTCAAGTCACTTGCCTTGGTCACACAGTTGGAAAGTGCCGAGGGCGAATCTGAACCCAGAATGATGCCAGAGCCCAAGGTCTTGACTGGAAAAGGGGAGGGGGTAGGTTGGTACAGGGTAACCTGTGAACTTGTGAAGACTTCCAGAAGAGGTTAACTTTTGACTTATCTTGAAGGATGAGTTCAGCAAAAAAGGCCGGGAGGGCAATCCAGGCAGAGGAAATAATTTGAGCCAGGGATCAAACACTAAGATGGGCAGGAAATGGGTCTGGAGAGGTCGCAAGGTCTCCAATGCTACCTAGTCAACTGTTTGTTTCCAGGTGAGGCTCAACGACAGCTTGCGTCTCAGCGCTAACTAACTGCGAGGGTAAGAGGGGTGCAGAAGCAGAGCGGCACTCAGGGGCTCCAGCCGGGGAAGCCCGCCCCGAGCTCTGCCGCCCCGCCCACGGCCCCCTTCGGGAACTCGAAGTCCCGTCATGCAGCGGGCGCACTCCGAGCCCCGTGGCCAGCCCCGCCCCTCCCCGGACCCGCCCCCGGGCCCGCCCCTCTCGCCCGCAGCCCCCTCCCGCCCGGTCAGCCCCGAAGAGTTGCCCGGTGGCCGCGGCAGACGGAAGCCGAGCGAGGGCCTCGGCAGCGGCAGGATGGGGGACTCCAAAGTGAAAGTGGCCGTCCGGATCCGGCCCATGAACCGAAGAGGTGAGCGCCGAGCCCGCCTGGGGCCGCCGCGGCTGAGGCGGCAGGTGCCTGGCGCGCCCTTCCCCTCGCCGCCGCCGCCGCCGCCGTGTGGGGTCCGGCCGGCCCCGCCCCTGGAGTCCGCGTCCGGGCAGCGGGGAGCGGCCCGCGCACCCCGAAACCTGGTTCCCCGCGCCCGCCCCGCCTGCGCGGGACGCCCCTCCCCTCGCCCGCACAGCGTCCCGCGCCGCCGCGGGCCCCACGTCCCGGGCCGCTGCCCCTTCCGCCGGCGCGCGCGCCCCGCCGCCCTTTCGCCCTCTCGTCTCCCTGCCCTTCCAGGAGGGCGACCGCGTCCCGCTTCCCCGGCTCGCTTCCCCCTCCTCCTACTCGGCCCTCGTCCCGCGCCCGCGGCGTCCCCGCTCTCGGCCCTCCAGCTGTCAGAGCGGCCCCCGCCCCTGGGGTCCTCACCCCCACCCCCCGCTTGGCCGGGACAGCCGGGGTCCCCGAGGCCCCATGTCGGTGGCCCAGACGCCCCAGCCCTGCACCCTTGTGGCCCGCGGCGGCAGGAAGAAGGGCAGGGAATTTGGTTTCCTCCTGAGAAAGCGCTCAAGTGCAGAAGTCCTTCCTCTTGGATTTTCACTTTATGTTCCTTTAACCCGGACAGCCATGAAGAGTTGCAAATACTTTGAACTTGGGTAGAGATTTCCCTCCCCTCCTTACTTTGGTTGAACTTGGGTAGAGGAGACCCCCGCCCCCCGCTTTTTTTGACTGTTGAGAAAGTTTTGTTTTTGCTTGAAGTCATATTCGTCATCTCTCAACAATAAATAGTTTAGGTGCCAAGATTCTTGTGAAATTGTATCTTTCAGACATTCTCAATTCTGCAGGGAGGGTAGAGAAAGATAAACCGAGTACATTTTAAATCCTCTTTAGACAGTCAGATGGAATAGAGAAAACCCCTACTTGAAGTTAGAAGAGGAGGTGGGCCAGGCCTTGGCTGTAATACGTAACTAGCTGCGTGACTGGGCAAGTTACTTTAAATGAGATACTGAAAACTCTTATACCAAGTGGTACTATTGGAATCATTATGGTCCCAGGAAATGACTTTTCAATTTACAAGGCTGTAACTAATCCGAATCATTCGTGTAAGTACCAGAATTATTTTCTAAGTCGTTTTTGCAACTTCTTTGTTCATGATCAAGTGTTGTCTTAAGTCTGTGTAGAAGTTGAGCTGTTTTCCAGTTTTCTTTGCTGTCTTTTGTGTATATTGAGATACGCAGATCAACAGGTTGACATGTGCTTTGTTGGTTTGTTCTCTTGAAAGGTTTTTTTTTTGAGTTGATGATTCCTCCTGTCCCTGCTAGGTCGGCTTAAGGCTGTCAGATGACACAGAAGAAATTTCGCTAAGAACTTAATTACTTTAAGTTCTCAACTAGTGCACGTTTTGGGTCTTCAGTCTTTGCCTCACTAATTCCATACTCTGACAAAATGAAAGAACCTAGATGAACTCTGAAAGTTTTCCAAAGCTTCTGGTCTTAAGGTGTTCAGGCAGCTTTATTTAAATTCACCTCAAATTTATTACCATCACAGTAATTAAAAACAAAACATAGCACCAAGCCACAGAAGACACAACTGATCTGGGATTTGATTCTGAACGGATGATCTCAGCACATTAAAAAAAAAATTTCCTGTTCACGAAAAACTTGGAAATGTCAGTGCTAAAAAGAGGCAGCTAATCAGCCACCACCAAAAGCCAATCTCAAATAATTAAAATCCTTCACCTCCCCCTCCACCTTGAGTTTCAGCTTTCCAGGGGAAGTACTTTTACTTATAAATTATCATTGATTAAATTCTAGTAATTGTCAGTATCAGAGTTTCAAGGGATGCATAGAATAATCTTTTTAGCTATGGAGTAGATGATGGCTGTTCCTTTGGCTGAACTCATTTTAAAATTAAGGTTTAAGCATGGATCCATTACCCTATAAATATAAGTGCATTATTTGTGGTAAACTGCCTCCTCATTTATTTAGTGCCATCTCTTACTTAGCCTTGTATTTCTTGAGTGCACGTGGACTTTTTTTTTTCCCATGGTTACTACAGATAATTAAAATTAGTTCTATTTCTGTTTTGTTCTAAAGTAGTTATTTACATAAATCTAGAGGTTATTGTGGAATACGATGTAGTGGAATTCTAAAGCCAGTGGTTTTTAAACTGTTAAATAGAGTTTACTTAAAAAGTCTAAAACACAGCCATATTCCTTCCAGTCATTTTGGAAAAAAGTTAATACTTTGGCCAATTATTACTTCTGGGAAAATTAATGTATTGAGTAATGGTATATAATTATGATGAATAGTAAATTTTGTCATAATTTCTCTCTTAGCAGGTTAGTGCAGGAAGCAACCTCAGAAATCACTCATCACCAATGAAAATGAGATGAGAATAGGTTTTGGGGATGATAAGTTTTACTCTATAGACTGATATTTGGAATCATATTAGCTACTTTTTGAGGAAAGTCTGCAATTTGCAAGAAGCTCCTAATGTACTGCTGAGTTTCTGACTGTGCTTAGGTGTTAAGGTAGATAGTTGGTTTATAATTTAACATTTATCATGGAAGTAAGAGTGTTTCAGTCTTTTTTGCTGAATTATTTGTGGGTTTGGGAAACTTCGTTATTTGAACATAAAGCATTAGGCCCTAGTTCAGTAGTAGCAAGAATTGTAATGACTGATGAATGTGCTTTTGTCAGGAATATTTTTCTTATACATTCTAACATTATACTAACAAAACAAAAAATAAAAAGGAAAAAGTCTCTGACATTCATCCATCTTATCATTCACACTTATTTTCTTATTTTCATTCCAGTTTGTATTCACATGCATATGTAATTGTACATTGTTGTAATATTACACCTTTTTTGGCCTTTCTTCATCTAAAATACAGACTTAAACAGCTGAAGTAGAAGGGGTTAAGCTTATTTTGTCATGAGATCAGGAAGTTCTATTTGTCTTTTCACATCATCTTTCAGACTTGTTCTGCTCATCAGGTAACCTGGCTGTGTTCTGTATACTGTAAGGAACACCCGTTCATACATTATTAACCAATCTAATTATTAAATGAGCCGAAAGCTTTACAAGCATAATTGATGACACTAGTTAGATCAGTGATACACTCCTGTTCAGGAATTTGATGTTTTATAACTTTCAGCGGCTTAAAAATATTGAATACTTATTGAGTGCCTGCCAGGTGTCTGTCTTATGTTAGATAGTCCGGGATCTGATTGCCTTTCCACCTGGGGCTTCCCGAATTTAAATATGTATAAGGTTAACTATCGAAGCAAATAAATCTATGTAAAAAGTGTTTGGAAAATATGCTTTGCTGTCTGCCTAGCCTAAAATGATGAAACCAGAAATCACATTAGACATTTAGCTAGAGAGCAAAACAGTGAAATGGGTTATTTCAGGTGTTAGGAAGCTTGGACAATAAACTTATTTTAACAGGTATTTCTCAAGGGTTTGCTTTGCATTTCTTTCCATACTTGATGCAGTGAAAGTCACGAACAATAACCAGTACAGTGAAATTACAATAATAGAAATCAGGGCTTAAGTCAAAACCATTTAACAAGGAAGACTTTTATGTTAGGAGAAAAAACAGTATAAAATAGTATGGTAGCTATGTGATTGAATCTAGTATTGTGATTATTTCTATGTAAAAATGTAAACAGGAATGGGCAAGGGCTAGAAAGAAACAGAAAATGAGATTGATTGTTATTTTTGGGGGAATTTTATTTCCTAAAAACTTTCTCCTAGTGTTGCCTAGTATGGTAGCATTCAGTTAAAACATTTTTTTTTTTAATTTCTACTTTTTTGGAGCAGGGAGTAATTAGGTTTGTTTGTTTATTTACTGGAGGTACTGGGGATTGAACCCAGGACCCCATGCATGCTAAGCATGTACTCTACCACTGAGCTATACCCCCACCTCTAGTTTTTTTTTTTTTTAAGTATGTTTTATGGTATGCTTATGAGGAAGTGACTGTCATGTGAAAAGATCTGATTAAAAGGTAAACACCTATGTCAGATTGCTGGTTATTAAAAGTGCCAAGTGAGTGGTAGGGAGATAGAGGAATTTAAAGGAGTGAAGGATCCCTTCTCAGGCTGGTGATTAGGGAAGGCTTCACTGTGAAGGGAGAACTTTGGTTCTACTTGGAGGGGAGGAAGTTTAGGATTGGAATGGGTGCCCCGTGGGAGGGGTGTGGGGGAAATTGGTTCTTGGAGGAGGTATGGTCTGAGAGCCAAGGCACGGAAGCAGGAATGAGCCAGGCAGGTTTAGGCAGCAGAGACAAGATAAGCCTGCCAGCAGGGAGGATTCTGGGAGGTTGACTAGAGAAAGATGAGATTAGAAAGATCAGGTGAAGTTGCAGGGAGCCCTGACAGCTAGCTAGGCTCAGCTGTCTAGCTTTAGGGTGGCTGCTCCATGGGTCCTGTTTAGCTTTTTAGAACCTCGTGTGGGTTTCAGACATGAGCCTGATGGGGAAAGATCGCCAGATCCCAGGGCAAGACTGACAGCCTGGGTAGGTCACTGATTCAGGTCATTGCTGAGCCACGTTGAAGAGCGTGTGGTGAAAATGAAGCCACATGAATAGGAAGGGTAAGGAGACCGGTTAAAACTGGGTGGAGGTAGGAGGAAGATTAGAAGACTCCGGCCGTCAGTGAGGAAACAGGTGTCCTTGGGAAATCCAGAGGCTGGAGAATCTGTTTGAAACCAGGTGTTTTTGACCCAGAGACCTCTCGTGCTTCTTAAGCCTTCTCAGAGAGACACCTGGTGTTGGAGTTAGGGAGGACCATGGATGGAAATTTCTGGCATATTTTCTGAAACAGAAGATGCTTGTTTCATTTGCATCTGCTTGATATGCTAATGGAGAATGAGACACGTGTATCACAACATTCTTTTGTGTCTGCTGTCAACTCAGTGACTGAGAATGGGGTTTATACACACAGGGCCAGAGGCTTTTGGAGAAGAAAGTACACATTTA